GGGGCGCGGGGGGCGGGGAGAATAGGAGACCTGTAGCAGTCAGTGGACTGTAGCAACATCTAAACTCTCTGAGCAGTCGTTGAAAGGGCCTCCTCAGGACGGGGGAATGTTCTCGAATAGACTCTGATTTGGCTCCTCAGGAGCAACTCGCTCGCCTGTTCTTTCTTTGCTCCCTAGCTTCGTCCTCTTGGTCCTTTTTCTTCTTTTCCTATTTTCTTCTCAACTGTACGTGGAGTGGACTCATGAGGAAGATGCCGTCCCTTAGGGGAATGACCAGCTTTCTTGGACAGTCATTGTCTCTCTCTCGCTTTTTTTTTTTTAATGTTTTATTTATTTCTGAGAGAGAGAGAGAGAGAGACAGCATGATCAGGGGAGGTTCAGAGAGAGAGGGAGACACAGATTCGAAGCAGGCTCCAGGCTCTGAGCTAGCTGTCAGCACAGAGCCCGACGCGGGCCTTGAACCCACGAACCGTGAGAGCATGACCTGAGCCGAAGTCAGACGCTTAACCTACTGAGTCACCCAGGTGCCCCAGTCATGGTCTCTCTTAACCTGGTCTAGAGGTTCTTTTGTCTGCAAAACTCTTAAACGCTTAATTGGCTTTTTATTTATTTATTTCCAGTCAACCCCGGGGCTTAGCCACATCCACAGTTCTTTTCTGATCATACTTAAATTTGCTACAGAGCTCTGTCTTATTGGCCCCATTGTTCTGCCTTGACTTAATTTGGAGTCCAGGTACTTCTGCTATAATGCCACATACACCTGCCTAGGTTCTGCAGAACCATACATTAAAATGAATGAGGCTTATGGGAGAGATCAGTTTGGGGCAGACCGCTCAGAATCTGTGGAACCCTGTAACCAGTGTGCTCAAAAAGCCAACAATAATGAAAACACACGTATTATAATAAATATATCAAATACGTATTATAAACACACCTATACTAAATCTCCATGGGCATATGCACCCCGCGTCTGTCAGTCAAACCTTTACAGACTTAATCCCCTGGGGAGCAGTTTCCCCTTCCTGTAAGACTGGGTCTCGAAGACCTTCGCTCACAGCAGAGACCAATTTCACTACAATCAGAATGTTGAGGGGCGCCTGGGTGGCTTAGTCGGTTAAGCGTCCGACTTTCGCTTGGGTCATGATCTCACGGTTCGTGGGTTCGAGCCCCGCGTCGGGCTCTGTGCTGACTGCCAGCTCAGAGCCTGGAGCCTGTTTCAGTCTGTGACTCCCTCTCTCTCTGACCCTCCCCTGCTCGCGCCATCTCTCTCTCTCTCTCTCCTAGAAAAAAAAAAAAAAAAAAAAAAAAGAATGTTGATGCAGGAGATGGGGTAGGCTCTGGCAATCAAAACAAAAAATTGAAACACAGGAAAGGAACACATGTCTCAGCTTGACGGCATGTAAAGTGGGAAATTCGTGATTCCTGCTCCTCGCGTTCAAGGAAGACACCAAGTAGGATACTCGGCTTTCTTCTTAACCTCTTCGTATGTTGCTAAGGGTCTCTTTTTAATGGTGAGAAAGCTTCTTCTTGATCACTTTAAACAGCAACTCGCAGGGGGAAACACACCAAGAGATTGCTTTCCTCCTTGGTCTCGTTTGGAAAAGAGGTTCTGCTGGGCCCCGCCATAATCCATCAGGAGGTTTTATCCCTAGTTCTGGGGCACTCTTTGACTCGATCCCGCCTCAGGACTGAATTCTTTTTTTTTTTTTTTTTTAATGTTTTATTTCTGAGAGAGAGAAAGAGACAGTGTGAGCAGGGGAGGGTCAGAGAGAGAGGGAGACACAGAATCTGAAACAGGCTCCAAGCTCTGAGCCATCAGCACAGAGCCCGACACAGGGCTTGAACCCACGAACCGGGAGATCATGCCCTGAGCCGAAGTTGGCCGCTTAACCCACCAAGCCACCCAGGCGCCCGGTCCGGGCCGAATTCTAATCGGCATTCGTAGCTCAAAGACTTTCCTGTTTTTATGAAGCATCTGCTGCTTCTAACCAACAAATCGCTGACTTCCTGGACTCCTCTAATCCTGATTGTAAACCGATCGATTCTTTTCCGAACCCCTCCTTTTCGTGTAATGATTTGTCAAAGACAGCCAGTCGTAAGGGCACACTCCTAACAGTCCCGGGTTCCTGGTGGACCAGGGAGCTCTCCCTCTTCTGAGGTAAACAGGTGATAGTCTCACCAGTGATTTGACCACTGCCGTCCTTCTCGCGTCCCCTGCCTTTCCTCGCCCCCTTTCACCAGCTCCTAAGCCGTTGCCGTTGATTTTAATTTTTGTGGACGAGGCAGCAGCCCGCTTGTGTATTCCGTCCGTGTCAGCTAGGCCAGGCCAGATTATGCGGGCAGTAGCGCTGAGCACCACGGGATCTCAGAGGTTTTAAAAAGACAGTCTGTGTAAAATTAAATAAAAAAAGAAAAAGAAAACCCCCCGTGTCGTGCGTATCCCGTAGCCCACTGTGGTCACTCGGGAACCCAGGTTGAGAGCAGTGAGAGCAGTTGTCATCTTGAGGATCTGTGGTCCCTGAGGCAGAGGGAAAAGAGGGATGGGGTGTCTCGGTCAGCAAACGCCCTGTCCTGCCTGTCACTTCTCCGCCAGCACGACGTGGTCACAGCGCCCCACCCACCTACAGGGGAGGGGCGGGGTTAGAACCCGGGTCCTGCCACGCCTCCAAGGCCCAGGGCCCACAGGTCTTTGGGAAGAACACCGCAATGATGACCACAGAGGATTTCCCCCCAGTTATTTTTCTTTGTCTTCCTGGTTTTTGTTTCATTCTTAGCATTTGCTGGTTAAGTGAATTTTACTGTCTCTCCTCCCTTGCTTAATTTGAGATCATTCATGTGAGCAAGTTTAACGGTGTTTGTCGTAGTTTACATTATTTCCATGGGTCAGGAGTTTGGACACTTGCGAAATAAAGCTGAGCAGACTTAAAAAGCTACTGGGATCTTCCTATGTAAATTATGAGGGGTGACGTTTTGATGCGGGCAAGAGATACGTGGTTTATAGGGACAGCTGAGTCTTCATTCTTTTAGAGTGTCACTTGCCCATGAGCCGTGGAGTCAGGCAGGCCTGGGTCAAACACTGCTCCCGTCATTTATTGGATATGTGATCTGAGACAAATTATCTAGCCTCTCAGAGGTGTAATTTCCTCATTTGTGAATATAAATACGTACAAATATATCTGTCCAGATGTCAGCTAAAACATGGTGGTGGTCATCACCGGCCCTTTCTGAAATTCCCCTGAAATGAAAGTAAAAAATCACTTTTTGAAAAGCATAAATCCACAGGGTCAAAGAGAACAGAAGCCAGTAACAGAGGAATGACAGTCGTGGTTGTGAACCATGTATTATCGTCCTAATAACGTAAAAATAAATACTGATTTAGCAAAAAGGCTGTGACCCCAGCTGTTATCGGGAAGATGGAGGAAAGGTTGGGAGCAGTAAGGCAAGACAACTACAGTGAGAGGCAAATATATTTAGAAATAAATATATGTTGGGGCGCCTGGGTGGCTTAGTCGGTTAAGCGTCCGACTTTCGCTTAGGTCATGATCTCGCGGTTCGTGGGTTCGAGCCCCGCGTCGGGCTCTGTGCTGACTGCCAGCTCAGAGCCTGGAGCCTGTTTCAGTCTGTGACTCCCTCTCTCTCTGACCCTCCCCTGCTCACGCTGTCTCTCTCTCTCTCCTAGAAATAAATAAAAAACATTTAAAAAAAAAAAAACAAAAAAAAAGGAAATAAATATATGTAGAAATATGGAAGTAAATACTGGGGGGGGGGAGCTAATAAAGTAGTTGAACAGTTTCGTCTGGCGGGGGGCGGGGGGGGATGGCGGTTCAGATAGGCCGGAGTGGGCAGAGGGCTGCTCTTTTTGTTCTAGACCTTGCCGTGTATTTGCTTGGACAGCTATGTGTGATTTTCCTTTTTCTAGTGATTTGACAAAAAAACTAAAAATTAAAACTGAGTTTCAAACCCAACCTCCACATCTTGTGGTGGCTATTAAGTGGAAATAATAATATGCACTTTTACCTGCCGGTGCACAGAGCAGGCATTCAGCAAGTGCTAGTTTCCTTCCTTCCGTCGACGGAGCAGGGTATGTGTTTGCAGTAATATTCATGACTCAGAGATTAGGTGGTTGGCTAAACAGCAATGTGAGTTATGTCACAAAGCAAATTATGTGCCCTTCTAATTTTTTTTTAATGGATGGTCTTATTTTTCTTGGAACCATATCAACCTGATGGTTAGTGTTTCTTAGAATTTAGTCCTCTGTGCAGCCCACACGTGAAAAATCCCCCCGCCCCTTGAGCGCATCTAGTCTGTTCACCTAGAACAGACTTACGAATACTTAGCAACTTTGAAATTACTCTAACAACCCCGAATACAATAATGTCTACACCTAGATTATACCATATGGAAGGCCAGGGACGTTTTTCTGTCTCGTCGGGAGTTGTGTCCGTCAGCCGTTCTACTCCCCGAGCTCGCCGCCAGCTTTGTTCTCTGAGCCCTCCCTGCAGTGGACGGTGGTGACCAAGGTTGTAAAGAAAGCCGGGCAGCATAAAGCTCTTGTGTGTTTCACGTATGACCTGTGTTACGTAACAAGACTGAATCCCCTGTAGACAGAGGCCATATATTCTGCCGAATCATTACATCCTGTCGCACCTAGCATAATGAATGCCACGCAAGAGTAGGCGCTCATTTCATCATTGGATATATACCAAACGCCCACTAAGTGCTTGGCACCGTGCAAAGCTCAGAAGATAGATGTCAGTGTACCGGACAGATCATGCCTCCTGCTGTCCTCGACTTTACATTCCAGCAAAACATGTGTCGAATTTTGTAAACCAGTAGCCCAGTAAAAGAGCAGCCCACCCTGAACCATTTAAGCAGGATAAAGAATCGTGTATGTGAAGAGTTTGATCCCTTTCTGCCATGTCTGTGGTGTGATGTCCGCGCGTGCTGGGGGAAGGAAATAGCGGTGTCTGACTTTTTTTCCTCTTTGCTTTTCTTTGTAGATAAGATGCGCCAAGGCACCTGCCGCCCTCTTCAGAAGAAAACTCACTAGTGCTCTGCTCTTGCCCTCATACCAAACCTTCTGGCTTCTGCTTTGGTGCTGCAACCCTGGAAGATTTGCACACGAGCTCCAGGAACACCCTTTGTTCATCTGAGTGGTTCTTTTGTGGATGGCAACTTATTTGAGTCTTAATAACTACCCTGTTTTAAAGCTGTTCCTGTCTAGTCTGGACTGCTTAATAAATCAGGCCACATACCAATGAGCCACACAGCCAGTCCAGGTCAGGAGCTGGTAGCAAACTGTGCCACGCGTGCAGCAGGCATGGCACAAGAAGACGGCCGTCGCGGTCAAGTGCCATCTACCTTTTATGGTGCCAACCAAGAACTCGACCTGTCCACCAAAGTGTACAAGAGGGAGTCGGGAAGCCCTTACTCTGTGCTAGTGGACCCCAAGATGAGCAAGCCACATCTCCACGAGGCAGATGAACAGACGTATTTCAGGGAGACCAGAGCAGTGTCTGACGTGCATGCCGTTAAGGAAGACCGGGAGAATTCTGATGACACGGAAGAGGAAGAGGAGGAGGAGGAGGAGGAGGTCTCTTACAAAAGGGAGCAGATCATAGTGGAGGTAAACCTTAATAATCAAACATTAAATGTCTCTAAAGGGGAAAAGGGTGTCTCTTCCCAGTCCAAAGAGACTCCTGTTCTTAAGACAAGCAGCGAGGAGGAAGAGGAAGAGAGTGAGGAGGAGGCCACGGACGACAGCGACGACTACGGAGAGAACAGCAGGCAGAAGAAGAAGGAGAAGCCGGCGGAGAAGGCCAGCATCGCCCAAAGGCGAACGAGGAGGGCCGGCTCCGTGGCCGCGGCCACCGCGTCGCCGACGCCCAGGACTACGAGAGGGCGCAGGAAGAGCGTAGAGCCCCCGAAGCGGAAGAAGCGGGCCGCCAAAGAGCCCCGAGCGCCAGTCCAGAAAGCTAAGTGTGAGGAGAAAGAGACTCTGACCTGTGAGAAGTGCCCCAGGGTGTTTAATACTCGGTGGTACCTGGAGAAGCACATGAACGTTACTCACAGGCGCATGCAGATTTGTGATAAGTGTGGCAAGAAGTTTGTCCTGGAAAGTGAGCTGTCCCTTCACCAGCAAACAGACTGTGAAAAAAATATTCAGGTAGGTTTCCTCACCGAGAGGGCAAACTTTCTAGGATACGGCCTGGCGGTTCAGGCCCAGCCGGTGTCTGCCCCAGAGAGTAGACACGACAGAGGCCGAAGGGACAGTCCTCGCCCGTGTCTCTTCTTAAAATCGCTCCTGCTTTGGGCTTATCAGAGCCCAGGCTTAACGTGTTCTCTCCAAAGCGTTGCAGTTGACTGACGCTGCACTAGTGGGGACCCCAGGTACGTGGAAGGGGGGGCCCGTTGTGGGTCGTGGCCCAGCAAGTGGGGTCAACACTGACTTTGCGCTGAGATCCCCCGTGGTAGGACCTGGCGTGTGTCATTCGTTCTGGCATCTTCTCGGTCACGGTGGGAAATACTGAGTAAAGGTCAGGAATAGAGATAGGCCCCCTTTGGGGGTCGACGGGGGGTGGGGGTGGGGTGGCCAGATTCTAGCGCAGCTGACGGGGACAGAAACCATAATGACGCAGACCGGTGAAAACGGAAGACCTCCAGGAGTGAGTTTGCTTTTACCAGTGGAGAGAGGACAACATTACGTTTATCAAGAGGCTGAGCCCGTGGGAATATGCAGACTTTAAACAGAGGCTGAGCTGGTGGAAAGTGTGGCCCACCTGGCGGTAGGGTTATACCATGTGCCCGTGCAGTCTTGTTGAGATGACAGAGCGTGCTTTCCGGCCATGCCGCTGTCACGATAGGTTACAAGGTGTGCCAGGCCTCTTACGTTGCGTGAACCGTGTGATGTTGATCTGGATGGGTTTGTCCATGTGAATGCATATTGCTGACTGCGCAAAAGGTAAGTCTATTACTGCCTCCGTAAGATCTATAAAGTACATGTGTGCCGTGCCATATTCGAGCTGAACTTCTTTTGAAAAAGGAAATGGTTTTGTTTTGGTTTGTTTCTTGGAGGATGCTTATGTGGAGCGCTCCTTCTTCTCACCTTCTGCTTGCTTGTCATCAACAACGGAGGTCGTCACTTTGTCCTAAAGAGATTTTTAAAGTCTAAGTTACGCTTGCTAAAAGTCCACGGCTTTTTAATTCGTCGGCTGTGCCTTGATCTATTACACACTTGGTGATGAACGAAGGCGCCTGGGTGGCTCAGTCGGTTAAGCGTCCGACTTCGGCTCAGGTCATGATCTCACAGTTTGTGAGATCTCACAGTTTGTGTCGGGCCCTGTGCTGACAGCTCAGAGCCTGGAGCCTGCTTCAGATTCTGCATCTCCCTCCCTCTCTTCCCCTCCCTCTCTGCCCTTCCCCTGCACATACTCTGTCTCTCTCTCAAAAATAAATACATGCTAAAAAAAAAAATTTTTTTTTTTAAAGGCTGAGTGGGGACGCCCATGCCCTCCGGTACCTACCATCTCCCTTGCTCCATTTTGAACTGGCTGCGATAGTTCAGGCCCAAGGGAGCGTGATGCGGTGCTGCACCCTGGGGGTCAGACTCCGGCTCTGTGCCGACCCCTTGCTGACAGGTGTGCCTTGATGTTGTGGGTTTTTTTTTTTTATTTTTTTTTTATTTTTTTTTAATGTTTTTTTTAATTTATTTCTAGGGGAGAGAGAGAGAGACAGTGTGAGCAGGGGAGGGTCAGAGAGAGAGGGAGACACAGACTCCGAAACAGGCTCCAGGCTCTGAGCTGGCAGTCAGCACAGAGCCCGATGCGGGGCTCGAACCCACGAACTGCGAGATCATGACCTAGGCGAAAGTCGGACGCTTAACCGACTAAGCCACCCAGGCGCCCCTTGATGTTGTGTTTTTTGTTGCACCTCACGTTTTCTTTATGAAGTTACAGAAAGAACGCGTGTACCGTACCTCGTTCTGTGGCTTCCGTCCCTGTTGCTGACCAGCAGCTGTTTAAACTTGTGTTCAGGTTTTATGGACTCTGCCCGAAGAGTTCTAGTTACATTCCCACAGGACAGTGCTTTGTCCACACGTACAGAACCAGTAATCCTGGCGACCCAGGAACAAGCAAGCCTCGAAACCCTGCCCTGCATCATATTCGCGATTCGAAACGCAAGGAACCAGGCACTGTTGTGCGTGTGTGTCCTCTACACGTGTGTACAGGAGACCTGGAGCGGGCTCTCGGGAAGGGGAGGACACTGACGTTTAGAAGTTACAGAAAGTTCTGCCAGGGGGCACTGTTTAGTAGAGTAAATGAGATACGGGGAAATAATAACAAAATCTCAACCAGTTGCGTTAACGGAGGCTCCAAATGCATTCTTTAAGGTACAGAAACCTCACTCTTCTGCCACAGATCTATAACCATGAATATGTGTTTTATCTTGTTTTTATTTATGCTGCCTTAAACTTAGTGTGTAACCTCTGGGAAACACCTGTTAACTGCATGTTGACTTGGGTGTGCGAGACAGATGTTCTTCGTATTCACTTATGTTTTAAAAACCTGCTTCTTATCGGCACTGTACTAATTTGACAAAAGCAGTCAAGTCTTTTGTTTTAGCGGGACCTTCCATTTCTTCTTGTCTTACTTTTCGCCATTGTTTTTGTGCTCCCAAAGGGTCTCTAAAAGATGCGTCGTGCAAAGTAGAACATAGAGATGTTGGTGTTGGCATCTGGACTCCTCGGCGGATTGGCTTTGGTTTGGATTCGGGCCTCGGGCCACAGATCTAGAAAGCATGCCCGTTTCATGAGCCAGTGGGCAGCCATGGCCTTCTGCGAGCCCCTGTCAATAAAGATTATTTCTGTTTATCCTGCTCAGTGTGTTTCCTGTAACAAATCATTCAAGAAACTCTGGTCCCTTCATGAACACATCAAGATTGTCCATGGGTACGCAGAGAAGAAGTTCTCCTGTGAGATTTGCGAGAAGAAATTCTATACCATGGCTCACGTGCGGAAACACATGGTCGGTAAGTTTCTCATGCCGCTCTTCTCTCATGCCTGTAATTTCCCTCGCTCTTTGGTGTGTTTTGTGATCTGGCACGGGCAGGATCCGAGGAACGGCCTTGCCGTAATCAGCTCTGACTTGCTGACCCTAAATGCGCCGTGGCCCCTGCGAGCGTCCTCGGGGTGCGCGGAGTACCCTTCCCAGCGCGGTTCTCCCCCACGATGTGGCCGCTGCCTCTCTCTCGAGAGCGCTGCTGCGAAGGCCGGTTAAAGCGTGGACAGTTAAGATGGCATGACTGCCTGGCAGTCGGAGTTCGGGCTGGGCTGCCCCGAGCTGCCTGGTGGGCCCGCCGTGAGTTGGGCACTCTGTGTTTCAGCACACACGAAAGACATGCCCTTCACGTGTGAAACCTGTGGAAAGTCGTTCAAACGCAGCATGTCCCTCAAGGTGCACTCCCTGCAGCATTCTGGAGAGAAGCCCTTCAGATGCGAGGTAAGGGCTGTGCTGAGCCCCGGGGCCCGGCCAGGGGGCGGCGGGGCAGAGGCGCGTACGCCACGGGCCCCAGGTGCCACCTGGAATGCCCCAGGTGGCTCTCCCCGACCAGGGCAGCCTGGGGAATGACACAGAGCGGGTTGTCTGTCTTTTCCTTGCTAATCCGGACAAGCTGGGGGTCCTTCCGGGCTGCATATGCAGCAGATGTCCCTCTCCATAATAACCGAGCTGCGGAAACATGGCAGAGTCACAGAGACAGGCTCAGGGACCTTGCAGGCGGGCTCCAGTGGGGCCGGCGAACTCGGCTCTCACACGTTCCCCCCCACTCCCCATGTCCAATGCAGAACTGTGACGAGAGGTTCCAGTACAAGTACCAGCTGCGCTCGCACATGAGCATCCACATCGGCCACAAGCAGTTCATGTGCCAGTGGTGCGGCAAGGACTTCAACATGAAGCAGTACTTCGACGAGCACATGAAGACGCACACTGGTAAGAGTTCCCGGGGAGAGGTGCGCACGGGGCTGGGCGCCGGCGGGTCCCCACTCGGGAGTCGGTCCCTGTCAAACCCAGGACCGCATGTGTGCTGAGTGCAGGTGCTCCCCGAGAGAAAGCCGGCCTGCTGGCCTGGGCAGTTGGGCGTTCGCTCTCCATTTGTTTCCAAAAGGGGTATTTGTCAGTGCCTTTCAACTGCGGGCCCTTCCAGACACTGGATTCTTTGCTTAGGGCACAGGATCTCCTGAAACTGTGCCACTTGCTTTGTGTATGTTGCATTTGTGAGTTTTTTAAGGAAGGGGTTCTGGACCCTTAGGAAATGACAGCCACTGACTGCTTAAAATAGAATACCCTCTCGGTACGCTGAGAGTCTGATTGGATTGGCTTTAACAAAATGTACATCTCCCATCAGATGAAGTTAAATCTCATTTTAACCATTCCGTGTTTCCGGGGGTGTGTGCTTTCTTTCACGGACGTGAACCTGGAAGCATTTGACTGCCTGGCCCGCAGGGAGCTGGCTGAAGTCGTATCCCCCCGCACCCCCCCCCCGAAACGCCCCATCAGTGTATCTCAGCCTCGACTTGCTCTTCCACGATCAGCAGTCTGGGTACAGATTAAACAGTATGAACCCCTTTTCAGGCTTCTGAATAAAATCTGATCACAGGTTCCTCCGTTCTGTTAGTCTACAGAGTAGCAGAGCTAGAAAGAACCACGAGATTGCCTTGCCCGGGCCCTGCTCTCTTTGCTCAGCCAGTGGTAAGGGAACTGTCATGGCTGGGTGACTCCAGTGCCCATTTTTATGTCCAACTCCAGGGAAAACATCTGCTGGCTTTTTTCCCATTTGGAGCAGAGCACCCTGTGATTTTAAGGATCAGGCCAGAGGAAGAGTCATGAGAGGATTTTAATTAAATAAGTTACACCTTAAGAGGAGCTCTGAAGCCTGAGTGACGGGCGGCAGGATCATCAGTAATTAACAGATTCTTCTGTTAAGATTTGGTGGCTCGTGGCAAGGCTCTTAGTTCTACCTGAGACTCTTTTAGGATTTGGTTCTCCATTGTAAAGCAGGAAACTACATGGAAAATAAGCTCTCCGGAAGGCAGAAGCTGTGTCACCTTCACACACAATGCTTGGGGCATAGCGGGTGCCCCATAGACATCCGATTGGAAGGAGCTGGAGCCCCGGACACCCTCGGTCTTGTGCCCCCTTCTCTTCTCTGCGCATCTCCTGGGTCTCTGTCTCCCACAGGTCCCTACTTTCCCCTCCTCTTGCCTGCCTGCCTGCCTGCCTGCCTTCCTGCCTTCCTGCCTGCCTGCCTGCCTGCCTGCCTGCCTGCCTGCCTGCCTTCCTGCCTTCCTTCCTTCCTTCCTTCCTTCCTTCCTTCCTTCCTTCCTTCCCCTCCGTCCTTCTTTCTGTAGGCCCTTAAATGTCCATAATATGAAACCAGAGTGTTTATTTTGTGATTAACGTACTTGTTGAATAAAATTTTATGTTAAATATTCTTCTTTGACCAAATAGGCAAGCTCAGCATTTCCTGTTTCTTCTAAAAAAAATACAGCCACCTAAATTCACTTAAATTTTTATCCTTCTCATTAAAAGAGTAGTATATACTTATTAAAGTGTATTACACAAGAGGCACCTGGGTGGCTCAGTTGGTTAAGCGTCCGACTTCGGCTCAGGTCATGATCTCACGGTTCGTGGGTTCGAGCCCCACGTCGGGCTTTGTGCTGACGGCTAGCTCGGAGCCTGGAGCCTGTCTTCAGATTCTGTGTCTCCCTTTCTCTCTGACCCTCTCCTGCTCACGCTGTCTCTATCTCTCTCTCAAAAATTAATAAAACATTTTTAAAAATGTTTAAAGAAATAAAGTATATTAGACAAATGTGAAAGTTGAAAACAGGACAAAAATGATCATCACTGAAAGATCATTAATGTTAACATTCTGGCATACATTTTAAAAAATTCTTTAGTTTCTTAATACACATATAGATAGATACTGCGTGTGAATATTTATGTGTTCATGTATATAGTCATGAAACAAAAATTGGGCCTTTATTGTGACCTGCTTTCCCTTTTTAATCTGTTACATCATTAACAGTAATATCATTTTAGCGGTTGTATAATATTCCTTGCGGTAACTTTGCTGTAAGAATAGCCACCATTTATTATGCACATATATGTCAGGCACTGTCTTAAGTGCTTTACATGCCTCATCTCATATAATAAATGTGACTTTTACAACAGTCCTGTGACGTAAAAGATGTTGTTTTCATTTTGGTTAGCCAGTTCCCTGTTGGACATTTAGATGATTCCTGTTTCCAACTCTCCTGCTGCTGTAAATAATACTGTGATAACAGCTCTGTTGTTCACACATCGATGATTATTCACTTAGGATAAACTCCCAGAAATGTGATTTTTAGGGTAAAGAGAGGTGCACATTTTTAAGACTTGGTGGCGTGCATTGCAAAATAGCCATCCACCTACACCCTGACTAGCTGCGCCTGAAAATACCCATTTCCCCACCTCTTTCCAGCGCTAAGTAAAATCATCACTGATTTGATAGGTGGGAAATGGTTTCTTACTGTATTTGTTTGCATTTAATTAATTGCTAAGTAAGATTGTGCATTTTTTCATGCGCTTATTGAGTCTCAGTTTATTTTCTTTCCTGAATTGCCTGTGCCTTTTCTGTATTCCTCTTTCCATCGCAGAGTTTGGCTCTTTTTTGTTTGTTTGTTTTGTTTTGTTTTGTTTATAATAGCTCTTTATTTACATAGACTGGACCTCGTTTTTAACCCCAACATTAAAATACTTTCCCCTGGTTCGTCATCTGCCTTTTAATGTTGTTCATGATCCTTGAGCTGGGAAAATAGCTGGACAGTGGGGCTGGACAAACCCGGCTCTGCCAGTCGCTACCGTGGGGCCTTACGTGAATTTTGCAGCCTCTGTGGGTCTCCGGTTCCTTGGTCTTCAGTAGGGATGACGATAGTCCCTGGGAAATACAAAGAGAGGGTTCACATTAAACAAGAAAAGGGATACCTCTTCTAAGGCTGGACACCAGCCCATTTAGAGTACGTGTTATTGGGGATTAAAGCGGCTGCAGGACTGGACCTTGATTGGGCGGTTTCTTTGCAGTTAAAGAGACTTGAGGTAGATCCTGTCTAGGGGAGCTGGCCAGCCCTCGCATGGGGTTTCCTGGGATGGTGTGGACATGGGGTGAGTCCAACATGGAATAATTGCCCATTCTCTTTGTCCCAGGCACGGCACTAAGTGCCGGCGGCACAGGGATGAGGTCAGACCCGGTTTGTGCCCTCAAAGAACTTCATTCCAGGGATAGTCATGATGGGGGTGGTGGAGGTAGTGGTAGTAGCCATCGTAGTAACAACAGCAACGACTACATAATAATAATGGTAATAATAATCGCAGCGCTAAAGTGTATTGAACATCTGCTACGTGCCAGAGACTGTTCTAAGCTCTTTCCTTGTATTTCCAACTTACCACATAGCCTGTTGTTGTCATCTTCATTTTTCAGATGAGGAAACTGAGGCTCAGAGATTACATAACTTGTCCAGGGCAGGTCTGACTCCAGAGCCACATATTTAATGGTTCTGATATAATTTAACGCAGCAAGTGATTACATGGAGGGCTAACACAGGGCTTCGTGAGGCCCAACAGCACCATCCCAGAGTGTGGTGCCCAGCTTCCAGAATGTGTCAGTGTACTCACGTGGATCAGGATCAGAGGAACTGATAGGCGCTAGAGAGTGTGAACGATACATAAATAAAATTGCTGGTTTATTAATTCACAGTGGAAGGGCTGAGCGGCAGGGGGCTCAGAACTCTTACTTCTTTGGTCGTCCTGTTCTTTGCCTAAATCAAAATCTATATTGGAAGCTAAATGATAATCAGGAGATTGGTAGGGATGGGGAGTGACGGGAGAGGAGGGTAATGGAAGGGGCTTGCTGGTGAGTACTGTACATCCTCGAACCCGGTCGCAGCCACCCCTCCTAAGACAAACTTAATTTGTACACTGTTCAGAAAACACGGCAAAGTAAAAACGCCACGCCGTCGGTTATACGGCATGTTTCCGTTTCTGAGATGCTGATACGCCGGGACTTGCACGTCTTAGAAGTAACACTTCATTGTTTGTAAGCATCAGGCAAGAACCAACCAAATTGGGGGGCACTGGGGGAGCTCAGTCACTTAAGCATTCAACTCTTGATCTCGCTTCAGGTCTTGATCCCAGGGTCCTGAGTTCAAGTCCCACGTTGGGCTCCACGCTGGGCGTGAAACCTACTTAAAATTAAAAAAAAAAAAAAGAAAAGAACTTACCAATTGAGCCACTGTAGTAAACAGGACAGCGACACCCCTGGGCTCACAGGGCTTGCCGTCGGTCTAGGGAGTGGACACACGAGGCACAGCCCTGGTTCCCTGATGAGAGCGTGGCAAGTACACGGAATTAAATGACATTGGGTAGAGTGTGGCAGATGGGGGCGGCCTGACGGGGGCACGATGAGACACAATACTGGGGATGCAGGTGCTAGGTCTCTCTCTCTCTCTCTCTCTCTCTCTCTCTCTCTCTCTCTGTCACACACCCACGCCCCCCCCCACACACACCCACGCACACACACCATAAGCTAGATAAAAACGTCTGGACTTTATTCTAAGGACAGCAGGAAGTTCTTGAATGGCTTTGAGCAGACTGTGTGTGACCCAACTCTTGAAAGTTCGTTCTGGCCTCCTGTGGACATTGGGCTGGAGGGTGGGGAGCGGGAAAAGAGATGCGCAACCAGTCAGGTGGATATTGCAGCTCATCCAGGGGCATGGGGGTGATGGTGTGGACCGTGGCGGTGGCAGCGAATGAAAGGAAAGTGATGATGCCAGGCAGGTGAACTTGGTGGCTGATTGGATAAAGGTGGTGTGCGAGGGAGGAATCCAGGGATGGTCACAGATTTGGGTCTTGAGTGCCATTTGTCAAGATAGAGAACAGTGGGTGGAGGGGCAGGTTTGCTAGCCAAGACGATGAATTTAATTTTGCACTTGTTAGGGTTTTTTTTTTTAATGTTTATTTTTGAGAGAGAGAGAGAGAGCATGAGTGACAGAGGAGCAGAGAGATGGAGACACAGAACTTGAAGCAGGCTCCAGGCTCCGAGCTGTTAGCACAGAGCCCGACGCGGAGCTCGAACTCACGAACCATGAGATCATGACCTGAGCCGATGTCGGACGCTCAGCCGACCAAGCCCCCTGGGCGCCCCTTGCACTTGTTAGCTCCGAGACCTCCGCAGGACATGCAAGCGGACATACCCAGGAGGCAGTTTGCAAAAAAGGGGTTTAAAGCTGAAGAGAGAGCTTGTAGGCCGTGATATAGATCCATGGGTTTCTCCTGCTGCTCGAGGGTATTCATACTAAGCAGACTGCACACCAGATCGCTTGTTCCTTCTAACCGTGCAGAAGACATCGGCTGCCAGCCGAATTCTTGTTCTTTCCTGCCTTCATTTCGAACGCACTTCCTTCAGGCCCATTACAGTTCTGCTTCCAGTCAGCCTGGCTTTCTGTGTAATAGGCCTTATCTTCGGATGTATTTGTGTTGAGATAGACACCTTTCTCCTCGCCTGGGTGGACTTCGCCTTAGCGTGCCCTCTAGCCACTCCTCCACCAGCTCTTCCTCCAAGTGGGACGTTGTGCGGGTGGCCGATCACACGTGGTACCTTTTGATTTTTCCTTATTTCAGCCCTATTTGCATCTTACCTCGAGGTCTTCAGGACACCTTCCCGTCACTCCTTAGCACAGTTAGGTGGGGCCTGTTGAGTAACGAGAGTTAGAAGCAAGCGGGACCGTAGGCTCATGTCTGGAACGACAAATGTGGGAAACGTGTCAGGACTTCAAGAAATGAACAGAAGGGTCCTAAGCGATAAAAAGGACCCATTGAAAGTTGATCCTGTGGATTTGCGGTAGGTGGGTCCTAAGAGTTTTTGGCCTCTCTATGGCAAATCACCATAGCCTAGAAGACTCACGTGAGAGACGGTTAGGGAGGGCCAGGGTTCAATCTGGGACGGGCACACAGCAGAAAGTAAGCGTACGGTGAGGGGACGCTGTCTGCGGCGCGGGGCCCAGCGTGCCTGATCAGTGGCCCATGAGCCAGGTGGAGAGCATTAGTGGAGACCAGTAGTCCAAAGAGGGAGGCCTTCGGCTCTGTTTCCATCCAGCTTTTGGGAGTGAGGACTAGTTCTGGAGAGTCTAAGAGAGAGGGGCCCCGGGGTTTATCAAACAGGTGCCCTTCCAAAACGTTTTATTATGTAAGTCAATCGTGTTTATTTGAGAGAAACAGAATACACACATAAGCATAAAAACCAGAATGTCACTCATCGGCCTGTCGCCTACAGATAATCACTGACGTTTGATGTGGTTCTTTCCATATTTTTTCCTATAGATGTTTTTAACCAAAAGTGGGTAATGCCGTGTGTGTATTTTCATTTCAGTTGGTCCTTTTACTTAATAGACTGTAAACTTAATAGATTATGGATTCTCACATTAGTAATTCAAATTCTATATTTTTTGTAGTATTTTTTAATGGCGCTTTCCATTCACATGGGCATGCCATACTGATTGAATCAATCCCGTTTAACAGAGAATTTGAAGTTTTTAGGGGAATTGGAGGAATGGATTAAAATGAAAGGAGGGGCGCCTGGGTGGCTTAGTCGGTTGAGCGTCCGACTTTCGCTTAGGTCATGATCTCGCGGTTCATGAGTTCGAGCCCTGAGCCCCGCGTCAGGCTCTGTGCTGACTGCCAGCTCAGAGCCTGGAGCCTGTTTCAGTCTATGACTCCCTCTCTCTCTCTGACCCTCCCCTGCTCACGCTGTCTCTCTCTCTCCTAGAAATTAAAAAATAAAATAAAATAAAATAAATAAAAGGAAAGGAAAGGAAACGAAACGAGGTGGGCTCAGAACTTACCCAGAAAGCTGAATGTGAACCACAGAGAAGAGCCTAGCGGGGGCAGCAGTTGACTAAGGAGAAGCTGAAAGATAAGAGAAATAGGATGTCAGACACTAGTCCTGGTGATTACTGACCAAACCGACCAAACCGATCCCTCCCGACTGTACCTCCCACTCTCTTGAGGAAGCAAGGAGAATTCCAGCTCTCACCGAAGGAGGGCAGCGGGAGATGTCATTTTCAAAGGCGGAGATAAGGAATAAGGACTGCGAGGGCGCCTGGGTGGCTCAGTCGGTTAAGCGTCCGACTTTGGCTCAGGTCATGATCACATGGTTCGTGAGTTCGAGCCCCGTGTCGGGCTCTGTGCTGACAGCTCAGCGCCTGGAACCTGCTTCTGATTCTGTGTCTCCTTCTCTCTCTGATCTTCCCTTGTTCATGCTGTGTCTCTCTCTCTCCCTGTCAGAAATAAATAAAACATTAAAAAAAATAAAAAAAAAAAAAAAAGGAATAAGGATTGCGATATGGATGAAGAGGTGGAGGGGTCCCAGAGGGGAGAACAGGAGGAAACTGGCATTCCTCCGCATGTGCAGGGGTGCCCAGGGCTTCGAGGTGTGTTCCCTGTGTCGAAAGCACATTCTGGAACCAGACTGCAGGGTTTTAAGTCCGGACCCTCCTCTAGCTGTAGAACCCTGGGCAGATTTCTTACTTTGCTTATCAGTAAAACAGGAATGACCACACAGCCACCTCCTCTGGGTCCATCCCTGCGAGGACCACCAGAGTTCACAGGTGTAAGGCGGTTAGGATGGTACCAGGCTCCCTGTGCGATCGCTATTGTTTGTGCAGAGTAGGCCGAGGACGAACAGGAGCGGTATCTGAGGCAAGAACACACCTGGAGGAGGGGTTAAGCTACAAGCTATGGACTCAGAATTGGTGAAGGAACTGCCACATGCGAGCACACGTACACAGGTTCTCAGCCCGGCATCCGTAGGAAGTGATTCGCGGATGTATGTGTTCAAACACTGTTTCGTTTCCCCCTCTGGCCTGGGTAGAGAGGCAGGCAGACAGCATGGAACTGTGTCGGTGTCCAGAGGAAAGCTGGGAACCCTAAAAACGAAGCCCTTATTTCCCCCTATTAAGTGCCTTTACGGTTCGGGATTTTTGTTTCCTTCTTGGCTCATCAGCCCCGTGCTTCCCATCCAGGCCGGGAGCCCGCTCTCAGCGCCCCTTCCCCCGCATGCATGGACACTTGGCAATGATGTAGCGACGGTTTTGACCGTCAGAATCTCTGGGGGCATTTAGCAGGCTGGCGCCCGGAATGCCGTGTGCTCTTCGGCGGGGCCGGCTGGCCCCACGTGATGAAGAAGTGGCCCGCAGGAGTGCCAGCAGCTCTCCCCCGGGAGCCGCGGCAGCGTGAGAGGCCCAGGGTGGGGCGGGCCATCCAGTATTTTCCGAGTCCGGTGCCCGCCAGTGAGCCGCGTGCCGAGGACTTGTGCGAGTCAATGCACAGAGACGTACTGGCTGCACAGGATGTGTGCAGCAGCCTGCCTTCTGGCGGGAAGTCAGAAATTGCTAGCAGACCAACTTGCGTCAACTTAAGAGGCAGAGATGCATCCACGGTCTTAGCTGCTTTGGGCACAGGAAAACCGTTTAAACGGTCCTTCACGTCGAATGTGAAGGTCATGACCATAGATTTTGGTGGTAGTGGTTTTTAACCAAGCCACATTGGTTAGGTTGTATGCAGGTGTTACTCCTGTCCGCTCTTACTCTTGAGTCGCAGCTTCGGGAGGCTCTCCCACGACTCTCAGGATAGAACGTGCTGTCGGGGAGAGCAGTGGCCCCCTCCTCGCTCAGCACGGGGAGCAGCGTGAGCCCGTCATTGCCGCCTCGTGTGTTAATCATCTTTTTGTGTCTCTGTTCATCTCAGGAGAGAAACCCTTTATCTGTGAAATCTGCGGCAAAAGCTTCACCAGCCGCCCCAACATGAAGAGGCACCGCAGAACTCACACAGGCGAGAAGCCCTATCCGTGTGACGTGTGTGGCCAGCGGTTCCGCTTCTCCAACATGCTTAAGGCCCACAAGGAGAAGTGCTTCCGGGTGACCAGCCCCGTGAACGTGCCGCCCGCCGTCCAGATCCCCCTCACGACCTCCCCGGCCACCCCCGTCCCTTCGGTGGTGACCACGCCCACAACCCCCACGCCTCCGATCAGTATGAGCCCCGTGAGCGCGCTGCCACCCCGGCCCATCCCGCACCCCTTCTCCCACCTCCACATCCACCCGCACCCGCACCACCCGCACCACCTCCCCATCCCCCCGGTCCCGCACCTCCCCCCTCCCCCAGCTCTCTTTAAGAGCGAGCCTTTAAACCACAGAGGCCAGGGCGAGGACACCTTTCTGCGGCACCTGGCAGAGAAGAACGGGGCCGCGCAGCACCACTGACCTCCGCCTCCTTAAGCGCGTTCTCCGCGAGCCGTGTGCCCTTGTGCGAGCTGGCAGCCGGGGAGCTGGTGAGGTGCCCGCAGCTGGCAGGAGGGGACCGGCGGCAAGACCACCCTGAGCTCGCGGAGGGGACTGCCCACCTAAACCAGGGGAACCACCGAACTAAAGCCCAATTTGCTTGCATTTTCTGGTGACTTTTATACATTTCAGATACCCAGACTTGGGGAGTTTTCTAATTTCGTATCAGCCGATGAGGTATGCTTGCTTTTCTACCCCGGACCTCTCCTCAAAGAGGGGACAAGGCCCGGTCTCCTTTGTACTAATCGGGAAGGCTGTGAGATTAATCCGGAGCATTAATTGTATCACTGTGTATCGTAACCGATTCTTTTCAGCTTTTGGCGCTGGCCTCAGGGTCGAGCCGGCCGTGTTTCCCAGTATATCAAGCATTATAGAGAAAGACCGAACTCTTCTTCTTTGTGTAGCTCTCCTAACGCACTCTTTATTTTACTACAGAAATTATTTTAGAGTTTTTTGTATAGACTTCTTTAGTAGGTCTGTTTCTAAAATGAAATGTATTTCAATAAGCGCTGTAATTTTTTCAGTGTAGCTGGGCCTATGTTGTAAAATAGAAAAAAAAATTTTTTATAATCATCCAAATGTGATTCTTAAAGATGCATATAACTTCTATAGTTCAGAGCTTATTCTTAACATCCGTACAACTCAAAGGTGCTTCAGTGACCAGAGGTATCAGAGAGGGGCCCCGCTGCCGGGTTAACTGCACAACCAGGTGTTGGCTTTCGGAGCTTGGCGTAAGTCCTTGGTCTTTCTTAGTCCCTGAATCGCATGCGAGCGCCCGTCGGTTGGGCTCAGTGACCCGCTCCCGTCTGCCGCGTTGCGTTCTGATCGGTTACGGCGTTGGGACAGTTTCGTTTGGTGATGGCGTTAAGTGGGTTGGTTTGCAGGGAGCTGGGACTTTGTGCAGGGAAGTCCCCCAACGCATGCATGCTTGAAACATCTGAGTCCAAGCTGTCGCCTGTCGGGAGGAGGAGGCGGTGGCGATTCTTTGCTCTTGGTCGCGTCTGTTTCTCACTCTCCCCAGGGCTCGTTCGTGCCCAGCCCCGCGGCGGCCTGGTGAGCCACCGCTCGTTTCGAGGCTGCTGTGTTTTTCTAGGATGGTTACGGAAACACAAAATAGTACACTAAAATCACAAATGCGAATGACGTTGCTGACAGTAGCTGAGAAGTTTGGATGGGAACAAACGGACTCGGGGTTTTTAAAATGTCCATCCGTCTGTGGGTACAGCCACAGCTTTGGGCTGTTCTGACAGTGTAAATTGTAGCGACAGAAAGCAAATGCCTACATTTTGCTGCCCTGTTCCCTGCAGACAGTTTACGTGACAGCGATGTTCACAGGTGGGGAGGAAGACGTGTCTGCCGTCTTGAAGATGGGTTACTTTTTCAGGTTTAGGAAGGTTCGAAAGAGCACCAGCATTCAGGAGCTTATATAGGAAAGTCTGAATAGAAGGGCTAACGTTCCGCTCATCTTTAACTGATCAAATTTCTCCAGACTCAGTATAGCTAAAACTTTTGCTTTTTTTTTTTCATCTCCGAGAACTGAGTTCCAAAGCTAAGTCTGCTTGCTTTCTCTCTCTCCCTCTAGTTTTTAATCTTGACGTTTCTTCAGTTCCCCACCGTTTCCCACCCCCCCCCACCGCCTCGGGCTCTTAGATCATTGCTTAAATAAGAACCCCGGCTTTTATTTATTTTTTAACTTTTAATATTAAATGTGCAGATGTACTTCAAGCACTTTTCTGGCGGATTAGCTCTGTGGTAGGAAAATCTGGAACTCTCAGTGGAGGTCAAGTCCCTCTTTTTAAAATACCACATTCTCTATTAGCTTTTTGGTTTAAATGTTTCCTCTTTTTTTTTTTCTTTCTGATCATTGCCTTTTGTCTCCTGTAACGAGCATAGGAAGGTTTCGGAACGAGGCACAAAAGTATCTCAAGACCTACTTTTCTTCCTGTTGTTGGATGCCATTTCTAAATACTGTTATTTTTAATATTTGTATACATTTTTTGGACACCCAGGTACCCAAACCAATGAGGAAAATGAATTACTTGTCTGTGATTGTCATTTCTTCAGTGGCTGCCTCTCCTTACTTCCAGTCTCCTTTACATTCCATGACAAATTTGTGGTTGGAGCCACACTTTTACGTAGACATCCCATCATTTAATGGCCAAGCCTATACTATTAAATGGCTTTTTAAAAGATGTAAACTGCAGCTGAATTGGATATAGTACCTTATCTTATTCTAAACAAACTTAGGGTCTTGGTTAGCAACTCTGAACCCAAGACTTAAGACCATTAAAGCAACCATTCTATGAAGTGTACTATAATTATACACTGGAAAATGCAGGTAGTCATGTTTGATTTTTCATTCAAGTGAATATAGCCATAAGAAAATACCTACTACATAGGAAAACCAGTATTAAGCAAATAATCACCACCACCCTTAACAGAAGCAAAAAAGGATTGTTTGTTTGTTTGTTTGTTTGTTTTTAATCAGCATTGTCACACAACGCAGTTCACAGTGAAATGTATTGTGGAACAATCTGAAAACTTCTAGGTTTTTTGTCGTCGTCCCCCCCCCCCCCACCCCGTTAGGTAGGTGTACCTTCCCCGACTCGGGATTCGTTGTCTTCCGGAAAACCGCTCCGAACCTAACGATCCCTTATCAGTGTCATATGACACGTAGGTAATGAAATGCATTCGTAATATTCACAACACGAATGCTTCTGAACATAAGAACTGCGGGATTAAGCCTTAAACATATACGTGCATCAGGTGTAACGTGCTTCAGACTCAAACTCAGGGTTGGACATTTGATTGGGGTCCTTCGCTGAGGCACAAAGTTGCATCCCGTGGTGTGTACCCTCCAGCATACGGTAAGCGCCCTGTGACTTCTTCAGAACCTCACGCTTGCTTGCTGTCTGTTTATGAAAAAAAGAACCACGGAGGCATTCGGGTTCTTAGCCCTCCCCTGTCCTCACTTTCCTAAGGCAGCAGAGGCCACACACTTCAGCGTCACGGAGATAACCCAACTGAGGCCGTTTCTCGTTACTTAATTTTATGGTCTTCAAAGGCTTGTCTCTTCGGTAGGGTGAAGGCTTACTTGAGGAAAATTCCCAAGGACTTTGTCCAGTTGACATTGCCTTTTTCCTTTCCCCCTTTATTCTTATCTCCCAGATTTATCCTTCAGATACGTACACTTGCTTAGCCTTCAAGAAAGGCTGCTTGCTGCTTCCTCAAATTGAGTCGGGTAGGCATCAGACTGAGTTAGCTGTTTTAATTGGAGTGAGAAATCAAGAAAATAAGATAAGCAGTTTAAAGGCACGTGGCTTCCTTTCCACACATATTTGTGATTTGGTTCTTTTTTTTTTTTTTTTTTAAGCAAGCGGGGAGTCCCTGCATAAGACTCTATGGTAGTTCAAAGAAATCTTTGCACATCAGCCACGTGCCCTTTCACAGCCTTCTCACTTCCACCAGTTTGTGCTAAATTCATGACCGAGGGTGGCATTAAGCCTAGTTGTGCCGCCTTTTTAAAACGATGTTTGTTGGAAGCGCCTTTCCATCGCGGCTGGAATGCTCCCTGCACCTCGACTGCCCCTTCTGTACTGCCCAATGGCGAAACACGCTAGAGAGATGCTTGTCCACTTCAACTTTTCTACTTCTTGAATTTTTTTTCCCCAGTCCTTGACGTTTGTTGAATGGCTGTGTATGTTTCATTTAATTTCCGTCTCCCTGGAAGTTTTAAATCTCTAGACGATCAAGCTGAAATAGAAATCCATTGCAGATGGTCTTTATTTGCCCCACCTTGCAGATTTCAGGCAGTGAAACAGAATGGTAGGTAGGATTTTATTGTACAAAAAAAAAAAAAGTTTGAGAAACCCCTCTATTTCTACCGCCTGAAGAGACAACCCTTCTTCCCTTCTTCCTACATCGCTGACCCGCCCGATGCGCGATTCAGTGCGACTCTAGACTGTATGGGAAATCTTTAATGAAACAGGGGACACGTTCCATTTACGAATCGTATCCACAGTTCTACCATGACAAAACCCAGCTCGCCTGGAATTCCTCAGACCGTCAGATTGAGCAAGTCACTGTTGGATTTTAATTTCCCTTTGCCTAAGTCAGGATAGGAAATTTCCCAAAAGAGCAATTTTTCCCCCCAGGAACGAAAGGTCATTTGCCACCGGAAATGGTGGCATTTTTATGCAAAAGAGCAACATAACTCCCCTGCTCCTGTCCACTGTAGCCCTTCTCCTAGATGACGATGGCCTTCCAGCCCTGGACGCTACCTCGATAACGCAAACTAGAGACCTTCTCTCCACTTTCTACGGAAGCCATAGAAGTTGCCATCAGTAGATGTCCACTTTCCTAGCGCTGTACTTTTATACTCTCTCGACTTTTTATAGACTTTGAGATCAGATCTTTTTGTCCTAGAGGATAGGTTTTGCAAGATTCAGTGGGAAAGCAAACTCCTCGCTTGTCCCAGCTTCCGAAGAATCAGATAATGTACCACGTATCGCATTCTTGATTTTGCTCAAAACTGTTTTGCAGAGTGGCAGCTCCTGAAAGGAAAGCAACCTTCTCTTTTCTTACTCCCCGTGGAGAAGCTTTGTTGTTGTAAGACACCACTCACGACGTGAATTCCTACCACCTTGTTAGCCCCGTGTGTCACTCGATGATCTGTGTATTGTCACAATGTTCCTGGAGTCGTTTTTATTACCCTGTGACAGATAAGTGAGTGCACACCTCCCCCCACTCCCCCCATCCTCCATGATCTCACCGAAGCTTCACACTCTCTCACTCTGTTCTTGAGTGCCTTCAACAAGCCAGCGTCCTGGAACATTCTTTTCCTGGTCTGAATCCTACCTCTGAATATCTCATTCTCCTGAGTGTTGGAAGCTACCCTTACCCTAGCTGGTTTGGCTCTGCAAACCAGCGGAAACCTTGGTTGTGAACTTTGAACCCATCCGCATTCGGTTTCCCCATGTCACTCTGAGATCACACTTTACACTTCTGCTTCCGTCTTATCTCTTGACATAGCACATCTCTAATGATGAAAGATTTTATCCTTACCCCTCGCTTGCTTTTCTCTCCCCAGAAGCCAATGTTACTTTAAAATCAGAGGTCACCAAGCACCTCTTTGGAGCATCTTTTTCTCATCGCGGTCTCCCCAAATGCTTCCCCTTTCTGATGAAGGGGCCCCCAATGCTGCTGTTGCTGCGTCCTGCTCCTGAGTGCCCTTTCTCTTCCAGGAACATTCCGGAAGGTTGTCCCCATAATTTTAGTTCAGTCAAATTACTTTAAACTTGTTCTCTGGGCTTATCAGCAGCCCTTCATTGATGCCTCTCTCATCCGCCTGTCCCTGAGAAACTTCCAGTTCCTTTCTTTTCTACTTACTCTTGTCTAATTAATCTTTAAAGTATGACTGATACATAATATATGAAGGATGTAATAAAAAGGGAGGTGCACTATATTCTCCACGTGATACGAGCACCTTTTCGAGAAAACATCGTAACAATCGGCTGACCTTTCACCGTCTGCCTTCCGCGTCTTTCACAAAGCTGACGTGCGCGTTGTGTGGGCCTCTGGCTCTTGCCCCAGCTCCCCTCCCAAGCTGAAAACAAACAGAACTCTTTACAGTGAGGAAATGGAGTTTCATTTTCTTTTCTCTCCCTCTCTCTTTAAGTGTATGAAGTCTATTAAGCGGAGCATTTTGGTCTTTGTCAAAATTTTTCTTTTCCAATCTAAAATGCCACGTCCCTTTCCTTCAGGTTGATAATACTAATACTCAGGTTTTCAAGACTAATCACCACGGAAAGTGGGGGTCTGCGAAGGCAGCTGTTAATAAATCCCTAACCCTTTTTGTCTGGCGACCATATGTTATTGGTGCAAAATTGTGAGAATTGGTTATGTATAAAAATGAATAAATTCAAGACCTCCAAAGGGCTCCCCAGCTATTTGGAATTGGAAGACCAGTTTACAGAAAGCAAAAAGTAGATTCCTGCAGAAATAAGTAACAAGAGTTTTAAAGACCTTTCGCTTTAATTTTCCTTGACGGTCCCCGTCAGTGACCTAGAACTCTGCCTCTTATAATGTAACTGGCTCCCTGAAGTAGCCACTTGGAAATGTGTGACTTCCCTTCGGAGTCCCAGGCTACACCACAGGGTGGGGAGAGCTGTGGTGGGTCCCCCCATGGAAGAGCCACATCCCTGAGACAGACCGTTGGCTCGTTTCATGTCTTCAGCGCTAGGAAACGTTTAGCGCAGGTATCCAAGGGTCCCTGTCCCTGAGAAGCGTCCCCTCCGCTTTCCGGTTACAGGTTCCTTTCCCCCTCTTCGCGCTTCCCTGGTGAGATCAGGGACGTTACAGATTACTTGAAAACACTTTGGGGGACATGGAGGAAGTGGGGATAAAGCGTGCAGGGGGGAGTGAATTTTGCTTCGCTTCAGAAGGAAATCGACTACTTGCGTTTGTTGGTTTTGATCAGCCAGGAAGCCTCTCTCTGACGCCGATGTGCCAAAGAATCGGGTGCTTTCTAATATCCTGCTCTGAACCATAGCTTCCTCCCTGACCATCTTTTCCGGGAGAAAAGGGACCGTGTGATCAGAAAGGCAGAGACAAAGACGTCACATCACATCCTGCATAGGACTTGGGGCTGTGCTTAATTGCATTTGGAAGTTGGTGGGAAGTATTTTATTCTTTCAGAAAATCGAACACTCTTAGAAATAGCCTTCTGTCCTTGGTTATTCAACTCATTAGGTCATTTCAAAAGTGGAAAAGAAAGAGACTGTGTAGCGTAATTTTGGTGTTTATTTCTAATGTCGTATCCCAAGGGCTAGATCTGCAGCCTCTGAAAATCGGATGGATTCTTCTCAATCTTCCGTAAGTTCAAATACGCATTTTATTCCTTTCTTGACAAGGGCTGTGAGTCTACCCCATCAGCAGTACTGGCTGCGTCCACAAGGGGGCAACAAAGTACTTTAGCGTCTTGATTCTCCACCTTCTGAAGAGATCCTGCTTTTAAGTCTCTTACAGAATGTCCTCTCTTGGCTCAGTGCTTATTTATAGATCTTTGTTTTTAAGACATGTTCCCTTATTACAAAGTCCAGTCGTTGCTCAGCCTTCAGGATGCAAACAAAGATTGAAGAGGGGGTCAAGCATCTTAATTGGCCGCTCTAAACAATGGTGCCCGGAGATTGAAAGCTAGGACCATCCCATGGGGGCTCGCTTGTGCAGAGCAGGAAGGCAGCCCTCCTTACTTCTTCCTTACAAGTGCCACCACCAGCGCAGGACGATCACGTCTCAACGCGGGAGTGGGGGGGTGCGGAGGGGGGACTCTGGAGTATGAACGAGGAAATGCTTCTCTGCTGGGCTCCAGTGGATGTCCGTTACACGGGGGAGCAAGTCCTCGGGCTCAGACCCTGCATCTTGAACCTTGGCAGGTCCCTTTCCGGGTTAGATTTCAGTTTGTGCTCCCCCTTTGCCAGTGACCTGTCCTAGGGCTGCTGACCCTCGCCGGCTCTCCGACCACGAGTTTTGTGCTCACGGCGGCATCTGCCCCACGGTGGGCTGGTCAGTGACAACCCAGGGCAAAGCCGCGCACTGCACTGTTTACCCCGTAGAGCGAGGGGGCACCTTTACCTGGAGCCACCTTCCCTTCCCACCAGCTCTCTGCCTGGCTTCTCCCCCCACTCCCACCCCCTACCCCCGGCCCAGGCCGACCCACTTCCTACACTTGACAAAAAGCAAAACTGGAGCTGTGATCAGTTTAGGTAACAGGTGGCCAGGTGTACCTTGTTGGGTTTTGTTTTCCTTCTCCCCACCCCCTACCCAGTACTGAAATCACTTGCACTTTTCCTCGTTTCCTAAAGAAAAGAGAATCCCGTTTGCTTGCCAGGAGTTGTTTAGCGTTAGGTTTACAAAGCTTGTCATTGAATGTCAAACATTTGTCCAAAGGAGTTTGACAGCACAGAAGCCGCTTGGTCCCTGCTCCGCCCGCCAGGTCTCGAGGATCAAGGCCACGCGGCTGGGGTATTTGTGTCAAGTTCAGAAGGGGGCAGTGGCCCTCTCCTACCTCTGCGAAGACGCAACTGAAGGTCAAGTTGGACTCGCGTAGGGCAGGTACCTTTCTTGCTGCAAAGAAGTTTGGAGGAGTCTTTCAGTCGGGGGGAGGAGGGGGCGGTGACAGGTAGGGGGGACAGGATCCCTTCAGAGGGGAAGAGCCTGGGGAGAGGACGGCTCCTGGCCCCAGGGAGCTGCAGCAGGGCCGAACCCCGCTCCCTCCTGAAGCCCCAAGCCAGCCCAGTTTCCCTGCGTCGCCTCCTTTCTGGCACCCTGTCTCCACCCTCCATGTACTGATTTCCCACCCCCACCCCCC